TATATATTTCCAGAATCCGAGTTGACATATTTCCATAACTTCATTTGTCTAACCAACAGTCCGAAAATTACGAACTTTCCCAAAACAAAACAAAGCAGAACATTTTCACTTTCACAAAGAGTTTCTGTCATTTAGAGGGCTGCACGATTTGGTTAAAAATAACTAATTGCGATGATTTTTGACTGATATTGCAATTGGGAATTAACGATAAAAGATGGAAGACAGACAAGAAAAAACATTAATGGATTATAAAACTTGTTGTGAATTATTATCTAGCCCGTCAAGTAATCAGTTCATGATTTGTAAATGTTATGCAGTCCTTAAAGCCCCTGTCACACTGTCCCAAAATTGACACCAGATGGACACACGATAAAGGAAATGTCATATATTACTCTATAGTTTTCTTTCTCTTTTAATCCTTATGCTTTTGTTATATTGTTATGTTATTTATACAGTTTAACCTTGTAGTGAACCCAGAGCAAACACAAACACACAGCTCAGTTTTCTAAAGCTAAAACATTCCTGCATACAGATTAGGACGGGGCTCCCCCTGAGACACACCCTAGAAAGATCCAGTGAACTTGTTGCTCTGTGAATCATTTACAGTGGGGCAAAAAAGTATTTAGTCGGCCACCAATTGTGCAAGTTCTCCCACTTAAAAAAGATGAGAGGCCTGTAATTTTCATCCTAGGTACACCTCAACTATGAGAGACAAAATGAGAAAAAAAAAAATCCAGAACATCACATTGTAGGATTTTTAATGATATAATTGGTAAATTCCTCGTAAAATAAGTATTTTGGTCAACCTACAAACAAACAACAATGATTTCTGGCTCCCACAGACCCTATAACTTCTTCTTTAAAGAGCCTCCTCTGTTCCCTCACTTGTTAAAACTGTATTAATTGGCCACCTGTTTGACCGTTATCAGTATAAAAAGACACCCTGTCCACAACCCAAACAGTCACACTCCAACTCACTATGGCCAAGACCAAAGACGCTGTCAAGGGACAACCCGAAACAAAATATGATTAAAAGAACCTTGCACCAGGGGGCTGGGAAGACTGGACATTCTGACAATACGGTAAGCAGCTTTAGTAGGCCAGGGGGTGGGTGGAAGG